GTATGTGTGTGTTGGGGCTGGGGATCCACACAGAGAAGGGCAGGCTGGGGGTCACCCACAAACCATTGTTCCAGCCTCACACATGGCCCTTCAGATGCAGACTTGTGTAGACACATCCAGACAATGGGGGACAGCAAGCCCAGCCCCCCAGATGGAAACACCTCCACAGTCCCATCAAAAAGGGATCCAAGCAAAGACAGCCCAGGTTGTTCACATACCTGGGCCTCGTGGAAACCCGATGCACTCTGTTATCTACACTGGTGCCTTGGATGGTGAGGGAGGGCTGGGCCTCCCAGGTCTGTTCCAAGGGGACTGTCACCATCTTTGAGGCCCATCAGAAGCACATTTCTTTCTCTGGCCCCTGAAACAACTAAGGAACCCATTTCTTTGTGAGGCCTATTCCCCACCCCCACTCCCAACCCACTACTTTGTGAATCAGCCTCTTCTTGGGTTATTTAAAACCCTCTGCTCCCTGGCCAGTCCTGTGCAGAGCCTGGCTCACCTATGCAGCAGGTTACAGGGGTGCCACAAGAGAAAGGGTATAAAATTCCCCATGGGCTCCAAAGGCTGGAATGTCATGGTTCCCAGTTCAGATTCCAAAACGAGTTTCGCCTCTTTTCTTCAGCTGAGCCTGAGAAACGTGGGCCAGGTGGCTGGCTAGAGCACCCCAGCATTAGACCTCAGGGGCCTGTGGCTGAGTGGGGACTGTATGTTCACCCAGTGTTCAGCAAGGAGGCCCAGGGCACACAAACTGGGCAGACATCTCCTGCAGGCTGGGTATTTCCTTCCTGGTGAGAAGAAAGGAGCAAGAAAACTGCTTTAGAATAGAATCTGTCTGCAGGTGATCAGTACTTAGAGTTCCAGTAGCCCCTCTGTGACTGGTGGTGAATGAAAGTGCACCAGCGACTTCCCTACCATTTGTTTTTAGGTTCTGACAAAAAGAAAACTATGTTGTGGGTCTTCTGTAAAGCCCTCATTCTTACAGCACCTTTGGGGCACCTAACGTTTCACTTCCATTGATTCCATTTGATCCTTATAACAGTCCATTATTATAACCCCATGCTATAGAGGGGCCTGAAGCTCAGAGCACTGGAGTCCTTGCTCAGAGCCATGTGGTAGCCTAGCCTGGCACAAACCTCATTCTGATTTTAAACCCTGTGTCCTTTCCTTTGCTACTCCAAGCTGCACCAAATGCCTCGTATATGAAGAAGCTACAGAGAACTAGGAGAACTGGGCTATAATGAGCTCTGGGTAACGTTGAGAAGGTCACATCTCTTCTACGATCTCAGTTCCTTCACCTGGAGATTCCCCTCTAAGTCTTAACCACCAGCAATTTCAGCTCTTGGTTCTTTTGAAGAGAACTGACCCATGTGTGAGTTCTCCTGGGACCCTCTACCTCTGTGGCTGCCTGTCTGATGCCATGCCCCCAGTACAGAGTGAAGACAGACAAGAGGAAATGTCTCCCACACCCATGCTCTGGCCCTCAAAGGTAACTGCAGTAAAATCTTTTATAAAGAGACTAAAACAATTTGTTCCTGTGAGCTTGTCTGATTTCCACTTAGCCAGGCACTCAGATCCCCATTTCCATGGATAATCAGAAGCTGGCTGCATGCCACTGAAAACAGCTCCAAGGTGGGAACAACCTCAAGTCCACAAGCAGAGAGATGATTATCAAAACCACGGTGCTGAGCACTGCAAGCATGGCTATGAGTATTTTTTGGAGATGCAGAAATGGAATATGTTTTGACAAAAAGTGGAGTGAAACAAACTATAAAACTGCATGTTTTTAGTTGATATAATGTCAGCTCTTTAAAACAATACTCAGGGGTGCCTGGGTAGCTCAGTTAGTTAAGCATCCAACTTCAGCTCAAGTCATTATCTCATGGTCTGTGAGTTCGAGCCCCAAGCCCATCTCTGTGCTGGCAACTCAGAGCCTGGAACCTGCTTTGTATTCTGTGTCTCCCTGTCTTCCCAGTCCCCCCCGCCCCCCTGCTCATGCTCTGCCTCTCTCTCAAAAATAAACATTTAAAAAATAATAATAATATTCAAAGAGATTAGGAAATATGCCAAAATGATACCCACAGTCATCTATAGAAGTTGGCAGTATGGCCATATATATGATCAGGAAGAAAATGTTTTTTTACAATCTTTTATTAAAAAATTTTTTAATGTTTGTTTATTTTTGAGAGAGAGAGAGCGTAAGCAGGAGAGGGGCAGAGAGAGAGGGAGACAGAATCTGAAGCAAGCTCCAGGCTCTGAGCTGTCAGCAGAGCCTGACGTAGGGCTTGAACTCATGAACCATGAGATCATGACCTGAGCCAAAGTTGGATACTTAACTGACTGAGCCACCCAAGTGCCCCAGGAAGAAAACATTTTTTAAAGTTGGCAATAATAATCTTAACTTCTTCTATCAATATTTTTCATCTGAGTTCTGGGTCTTAGCACACACCAAGTACCTGCCATCATTGTAAGGAAAGATGGCAGGTGTCTGTCTCAATCTTAGCTTCGGAAACACACACACCAAGCCCTGCCAGAAACCCCACACCCCCTTCAGGATGATCAAAAGTACCCTCACAGGTCCCGCACTCAGTGTTCACTTCTGCAAAAAGACATCTAAGGACGCCAGACTTTTAGCTTTATATTCCTAACTCAGAGTTTCTCATTTGATGTGCCTTGAATCAGTAATATGACAGTGTCAAGGAATTACTAGATAAAGGCTACCATATTCAAACAAGCTGGGGAAGTTCACATCTCAGTTTTAATGAATTACAAGAGGTTTCTCTGTGGAATGATCCTGTAAGAGGGACACAGAAGACATATCATTTGCAGATGAAGTTCACCGACAACTTCTATTTAGGACTATCTCAAGGAACTCCTGCTCTACAGATTCAGGGATATCTGGGGAAGCGCACTTCCTGTTCCCTCAGCCTTCTAGCCGTGTGCTTCTCAGTCTTGGCTGCACACTAGGGTCACCTGGACAGCCTTAAAAACAAATCCCTTGGTCTGGGTCTGGTCTGGATTTGGTCTGGGGAGTAGTCTGAGCCAGGGCTGAGAACCACTTCTTCCTCACACCATCATAATTGTACATGCTAAGAAGTCAACACCAGACTGGGGTCCAACCTCAAAATTATTCATGTACCATCCATTTTTGAAGCTAAATGGAACCTCAAAGGAGGTCTAGTTCAAGCTCTCATTTTATAGAAGAAGAAACTGAAGTTTCCAAAGGATCAGCCCCCCACCTCTTCCAATGCTTGTTCTGGTCAGTGACAGGCTATACCTTGGGCCCCCAGCCTCTGGACCACAGGACCCTTCATTCAGAGGTTGAAGCAAACAAAATCTTCAGATCTCCAAGGCCATTTTACTGCCAGAGGTTGTTTTATCAGGCCACCCATCTCTCTGGCAAGTGGACCCTGACACAAATGAAATTCTGACTCAAGTCCTCTTCCTAACTAAAGACAAGAAGCCAGGAGACTGCACGCTCACAAGGACCGACTGGAAGCCCACACGGGCAGTAGAGCAAACACATCGATGCACCCTTAGGCTGCTAGAGCAGACAGAGGGTACTTTCTCTGTGCACCCCACCTCCATCGCAGGCAGCCTGAGAAGCTATCACGCACACCTTTAAAATCAAGAGACTCCTGCATACTTGTGACAACCTTCTGAGTTGATGGCTTTGGCCCCTACCCTCTTCTGGCAATATTCTTGCCCCTGAATATGGAATTTTATAGTAAAAAAATCTCCATGCTTTTCAGTTTCACATCGTGTACCTCCGATTACTCCCCTTTTTCTTTTTTCTTTTCTTTAAGTTTATTTATTTATTTTGAGAGAGAGAGAGAGTGCACGCGCACACACGAGCTGGTGAGGGGAAGAGAGAAAGGGAAAGAGAGAGAATCCCAAGCCAGCTACAAACTGTCAGTGTGGAGCCCAATGGCGAGACTTGAACTTACAAACCAAGAGATCATGACCTGAGCTGAAATCAAGATCGGATGCTTAACCACCTGAGCCACCCAGGTGTCCCAACTTCCCCTTTTCAACCTTAAGATTCCATTATTTCTCTCTTTAGCAGCTTGAGAAAAAAACCTATGAGCATTGGAGAAAGGGCACCCTCCTATTGACCAGCTCTTGGTCGCTAGTCCCCACAACTCTCCGACACCTTTGCATCAGGGGAGCTGTTCCCTCAGAGACCCTCCATCCTACAGAAGAATCTCCAGGTGCCCTTCTAAACTCCAGGCCCACAGCTAAGCTCCCCGAGAAGTATCTCCAGTAAGCTCTAATCTGATCTCTGTGAGTTTAAGAGTGGGAAGGGGGGAGTGGGTCATAGAAGCAGATAGAAGAGCCCTGTGGGTGCCTTCAGAGTTCAAGGTCAATCTGGCCTCCTGCCCCTCTCCCTCTCCCCCAGGGTAGGGCAGTGATCAGCTGGAGCTGGCGGGTGGAGCTGCTGGGCGTTTCCAACCCGAAGCAGAGCTAATAAGCAGCCAGTCCAGAGGGAAGCCCCTTTCCTAAGGCTGCACAAACAGCCTGGGTCTCACCCTCAAAGGGTCTGTCTTTTCTGCGGGCTGGTGTCCGTGAGTTTTACCAGTGGAAAGGAACGGTTCACAAGTGCTTCAGCTTCCCGAATAACATCCCAGACCAACCAGCACTTCTACACCTGCCCTGCGGTCCAGGAGATAGAGCCAGGAGCTGGACCCTTACCGGAGTCAATCTATTTCTACGAGGATTGAGGTTCAGGCAGGGTGTGCGGGTCCATAATGAAAGCTCCCTTATTATGGTCATCCCCGCCTAGGAAAGCAGCAAAGCTAATTGCCCACCCTCTCTCCGCAACACCCCCTCCCCTGCACGCCTTGTCCTAGGTGCAGAAATAAGAGCCGCTGCAGCCCCCAAGCCACCTTCCGGAACAATTCCACCTTCAAGCGCCCAGAGCTGTGCGCACTGTCCGCGGCGACCCGCCTGGGTGCCCACCCGATCCGCCCACCCGAGCGTTCCCTCTCGAGATTTCCTACCATGGCGCCCACAGTGACTGGACCCGCTCCTGGGATCTCTCAGCTGGCTCGCCGGCTCATCCCACCGCCCCGGGGTCGCCACTTGCTCCGTGACTCTCCAGGCTTCCCTAGACGCGAGTTTCCCCAGACCGAAGGTCCACAGCTTCCCAGCAGCCAAGTGGCGCCACGACTCCTGGGTGTGCAGTGCGCTCGGGGATGCTCCGCAGGTGGGGTTGTTAGAGGAGCTCCGGGAGAATGCACGCGGAAGCTGCGTGTCTGGGGGTGCAGGAGCCCTTCTGCACCCGCGAGCCTCCGCGTTCAGCTAGGGACTTTTGCAGAGTGTGCGATGTCCCTGCTGCGCGTCCCAGCCCAGCCTCCCCACTTCCCCGAAAGCTAGGGAGGAGGAGCTCCTTTCACAATAAAAGCCCCGACCTTGGCTCCGGCAGCCGCAGCCGCCAAGAGCAGGGGCCCAGGTGCTAGAAAGGAACGGGTCCCGCCCGCCCCGCGCTGAGCTGAGGCCGGGCGGCAAAGCAGCAAGACCTGGCAAGTGGTCTTGATTCCTCCTCCGAGGTGTGAGGGTGCTCCCAGAGCCGGGGCAGTCAAAGGAGGGAGTAGAGAGGGAGAGGGAGGGGGAGGAGAGGAAGGGGGGGAAGAGGGCCGGGCCGGCCCATCGAGGGTCGCCAAAACTGTGCTCTTCCTTGCAAAGTCACAGAAAGATAAGTCTTTCCGCTGGCATCTCCTAACCTTACTTGGGCTCAGAACCCCAGGACGGTTTGGAAGGAAATATGGTAGAAGAGCCTTCGGACGTTTGTCACAATGGACATTTTTCCCCCTTGAGAACTAATCAGTGTTTGATCGCTGGAAGTAAGTGGCTGATACCGACCCCTCTGCTCTGGATGCATACAGTGTTTGCATCCCCTAGGTCACAATCGAGGCAGGATCTAAGGATTCATAGAGTGTTTGTGTCCCCTGGCACAGTGGAGGCAGGACCTAAGGGTCTGCATGCTCCTTGTTGGAGAGAAGGCTAGGCTGGGAGTCCACAGTCCTGGAATGGGGGAGGGGGGGAAGGGGTCGCTCTGTTAACAGCTGAGTGACATTTAATAGTTGAGTCACCTTTAACTGGTGCCTAGATGTCTTTGAGACCTGTCCCTAAGTAGACCAACGTTTGGATCTCAGGATTCTTAAGAGCCTATAGGCATGAAGGTAGAGGAGAGGGCAGAGTCAGCAGTAGACAGAATCTGGGAGCCAAGCTGGAAAGATGGAAACAAGAATCATCACTAGATGGTCTGAAACCATCTTCCCAGGAGTCACGGCCATGGAATGCTTCGAGGGTGTCACTGATGACAGTGCTTCTAAAGGAAGACAAATATTCAGAGGGTTTCCTTAAATTGCGTATGGTGTCGGGAGACCGGTGGAAGGGAAAGGATTTCTCCAGTCCTTTTTATGTTCCAGATGCTTCCCACAGATTATTTCATTTCATCGTTACAAACAGTCCTAAGAGAGAAAATTTATTACCACCATTTTACAAGTGAGGAGACTGAGGATTGGGGAGCTGAAGTGACTTTCCTAAAGCCAGATAGTGAGTAAGTCGTTTTTAGCAAACCAAAAAAAGCCTATTCCTTAGAGGAAGAGAGGAAGAGGAAGAAACTGATAAACCAGGAACAGGAGGCAGGATGCAGTGCCAAAGACTGCAGCGTGTAAGGAGATTAGGGCACAAGGGGAGCACAGAAGAATCTGAACCCTGGATGAGGACAGTGACGGAGCAGGAAGCGGACCCTGCAGGCTGTTTCGTTCAGACTGCTGAGGAAACAATGTGGTCTTTTGAGCCTCCTTTTCTGACTACAACCTACATAAGATGTACATTCTAGGGGCACCTGGGTGGCTCAGTCGGTTAAGTGTCCGACTCTTGATTTCAGTTCAGGTCATGATCTCATGGTTCTTGAGTACAAGCCTTGCATCAGGGGCTCTGTGCTGTCAGTACAGAGCCTGCTTGGGACTCTCTCTTGCTCCCTCTCTCTCTGCCCCTCCCTCATGCGTGCGCTCTTTCTCTCTCTCTCTCAAAATAAATCAACATTAAAGAAAAAGAAGATGTACATTCTTGGCCATGACTCTTTACATAAACATTTATGTATAAATGTCATTAAAATCAAGTTTTTAAAACAGCATTACATGGGATGCACTCTGACGTTTTCTATTCTATCCCATTATAATTATTTGTAATGGTGAGCTCAAGTCATTATGTTTATTTCAATAGTATATACTAATAAGTACTGTATGAAAAACGCTACACTAGGAAGTGGAGCAGACATATTCTTTTAAACTAATGTTTTCAAATGGTTTTGTGGTATTCTGCAGAATTTATCTGCGATATAGAAAAAGAATTTAAGAGGGAGGGATTCTTTGGCCAACTTTGAGAACACTGAGCACAGTCAAGCAGACTCTCTCTCTCTCTCTCTCTCTCTCTCTCTCTCTCTTTTTGGCAGTAGGACTTGTCAGAGCCTTCAATGCTACTATACATTGAGATTTTCTGAGGAAGGAGGAAAGTGACTAGTTTTTTCCAGATTTACTGGATGCTAAGCTCTGTTTCTGTGGATTCTTGGGACACACTTGGGAACAGCTGCTCTAGGATCTACCTAGCCAGGTGAATTGTCAACATAAGAACAGAGTCAAAATCCTACATTCTGAAGGCAGATTCCCAAGCGCAGCCTCATTTTGTTCACCTGATACCCTGCTCAGCTAAGAAGGGGCCCAGATGGTGAATGTAGGACCTTCATTTGTAAATGAACAACTGTCACTTTTGTAACCCAGACTGAATGGAAGCAGTCAGGATTCCAGGAGTGCCCAAGGCCGGGTAAGCAGGGAAAACTGAGTTCTGGACCTGCTGAACCCAGGACACACCTGGACCTGCAGTGATTCCAGCTGCCCTTCATGGAATCCTGCCTAGAAAAAGCACCTCCCCTTTCTTTATTAACCCCTAGTTCCTTCCAGCTGTGAAGTGCTCTAATTCAGACCACTGGTCCATAATACCTTAGATGTGATCATTTACTTCCCTGATAACATCCTCCTGCACAGGGCCATGCCCATGGCTGTGACTCTGTGACCGACATGTCTACATTCTGACAGTCTTTGACATGCACTTTTTCTTTCCCTGGCCCCCTGCTTCCTCCCTCTCCGTGCATTATTTGCTGCACACTCTGTAATGGATGTTAATGTCAAGAACGAGGAAGAGGTACCACTGCATTAGAAAACTCTCTGGCTATCGGGGTGCCTGGGTGGCTCAGTTAGTTGGGCTACCAACTTCAGCTCAGGTCATGATCTCGCGACGTGTGAGTTCAAGCCCCGTGTTGGGCTCTGTGCTGACAGCTCAGAGCCTGGAGCCTGCTTCCGATTCTGTGTCTCCCTCTCTTTCCACCCCTCCCCTGTTCATGCTCTGTCTCTCTCTCTAATTAAATAAACATTTAAAAACATTAAAAAAAAAAAAGAAAACTCTCTGGCTATCTACCTAAGCTACATATACACGAGCCCTGTGACCCAGCAAATCCTAGACCTTTAGCCAACAGAAATGCCTACACATGTGCCTCAAAAGCCACATACAAGAAAGTTCACAGTAGCATTACTTGTGATCATCCCAAACGAGAAACAACCCAAATATTAATCAATAGTAGAGACAATATGTAGATTGTGGTATATTCACACAATGCAGTGCTTTACAGCATTGGCAGCTCGTGAACTACAGCCACACACGAACATTCTGCGGAGGGAAAGAAGGCAGCCAGGAAAACAGACCTACATGGGCTTTCATTTGTATGAAGTACACAAACAGGCAATGCTGATATCTGCTGTGCGAAGTCAGGTGAGTGGTTACCTAGGGGAAAGTGAGGCCTGAGAAGGAGATGTGAAGAGGCTTTTGTGGTGCTGCTAGTGTTTTTTGTTTGTCAGTTTGGCTACTAATTTTTGCACCAATTACAGCTGAAAATAAATCAATACTGTAATACTTAAAATATGTGTACCTTTCTGTATGCACGCGAAATAAAAATTAGCACATACTGTCTTTAGCCTCAAAGGACTCATGATCTAGCCTAGCAGTCTCCAAACTTTTAGTATTATTCAACTCAGTCCCAATGAGGTTTTGAATATATCCCCCAATACGTGCATTACCTACCTACAAATTACTTCAGTGTACCACTTTATTTTCTACTTATTATAAAATGTACGACAATAAAAACAACAAAATTTTGAAAGGCTTAGGTTAATACAGCAGAAATAGAAATTTAAATGTTTCTTTTCACACCTTAAGGGGTGTTTCTATAACATGAATGGGCTGCTGATGTCTCATTCTGAAAACCTGGGGCCAGTCTGATGGGCAAGAACAACAGGTGAACATATCAGTGTGATAAAAAGTAAGTAGGAAGCAGGCCTTCCCCCTTCTCCCCCACCTTAGGGGGACTTCCCAGACATGAGGCCTGTGCTTGGGGGCAGGGCTTTCCTGCAGAGCTGCTAGAGTACAGACAGCATCGTACCTTGAACTTGAGACTTAAATCAGACTCGGCCTTGCGGGCTTTGAAGATTTGACGAGAGCATAAAAAGGGTCATTTTAAAGTTTTGAATCAAACAGTTTTGTAGGAGGTGCAGGTTTATAACTCTGGGTCTAAGTATTCTTTTCTTCCAGGAAAACAGGACCTCCCATAAACTCCACCTCCCTCAATCTCAAACTCACACACACACACACACACACACACACACAACCCATACATATGTACCAATGGAGCTCTTACTCACGCAGCACTCTCTGATGAAAGGGAGATTTGTAAGGCTGTTTCCAAGAAACTGGATTACGGTAGTCGCTAGAGCTATTCACAAACATCTAGCACCCCATCTTTCAGACAATGAGTAGCATGTACGTGTCCCTGCCATTTGAAGTTTGGTGTGGTCATGTTCCTAGCTTTGGCCAATGAGATGTTAAGTAGAAGTCCCATCACTTCTGGGTGGAAGCTATAAAAGCCAGTGCATGACTGGCCATGTTCCTTCTCTAAGGGAGTGACTGAAAAGTGTTTGTCAAGATGGAGCCGCCATCAGCCTGGGTCTTGGGGTGACTGATGAGCAGAGCCTCCACGAGATTCTCATCATCTGACTCACATCGCCGGATGTGAGAGTGAATGAGAAATAAACTTATGTGTTTAACCACAAAACTGTTGCGACAGCATAACTTAATCCATCCTAATCACATGAATAAAATTACTTTGGAGAAGAGTTGCTTGAGAGGAACCATAAATCAGATTTTGTCACTCCTCTGCTCCCTCGGAGTAAAAACTCCAAG